CCAAACAAAAAACAAATCAAATCTCAGCTACTACTCCATCGAGTCATATCGTCGTCCGCAAAGCCAATATCCAGCAGCGCCTTCAGCTGCTCGGGATATTGTCCATCTGCCACGAACGGATCAACTACCTCGTCCTCGTAGCCGTGGTGGTAGCGTCCCGCATCAGTACCGTCATCAGTGGCGAGCCGCTGGAAAGGGTTGACTGACGAAACAGGGCCGGAGGACGACGGTGGACGAGTGGTGCCCGCGGAACTCTTTGGCACAACAAATTCTGGCTCCTCGATCTCAAACGTGCCATTCGCAGGGTGGTTTGGTTTTCTGCTTCGTGCGGGTGGCTCAGATGCTGGGGCGCCGGGTGGGACAGCGGGAGGACCAACGCCAGGAGCAACGCCAGGAGCAACGACTGGAGCAACGACTGGAGCAACGACCGGAGCAACGACCGGAGCAACGACTGGAGCAACGACTGGAGCAACGACTGGAGCAACAGCAGGGACCGCAGCTGGCTCGATGGCGCTGCTTGGTTGCGGCCGAGAAGCAATCTTGACGGTGCCGGGCGCATTGGATCGACCAGCAGGCATGGAGCCCGCAGCCGACGGAGCCTTCGGGCCTGTGTGCTGCTGATGTGCAAGCTGGTGGTTGGTGGGCGGGTGCGAATATTGAGAAGCTGCCGCGGTTGCCTTCGGTTTCTTGGAGTAGGGAGGCATGTTATTCCCCCGGTTTCCGATAGACCATATTGGGATGGGCATGCTCTGCATGAGCGCCTGCATGATGATGTCCTGCATGTGGTCCAGCAGCATTTGCCGCCGCTGTATGAGACACAGGGCGGCTGTTGGCCGCATAGTTGGGCTGATAAGTGATGGCATCCCAAATCTCGTCCAGCCAGAGAATCGCGCCTCGATTGGCGTACGCCTGCAACAAGGTCGACGTGCATTTCTGAAAGCCAGCAAGCCACATAGGAATGTGACGCACGTCCGTCACGTAGTGAAGCATTTCTTTGAAATCGCCATCGCCTGATCAATGTCAAAAAATGGAGCAAATTGAGTCGTCCCACAAGACAAAATTTCCTCCCTCCCTCCCTCCTCCAATCACATGTGGCTGGAACTCGCACCTGTGAGTAGAAAGAGACCAGTCAACGCCTTTTCACCGACAAGAGTCAGGACTTTGGTTGCAAGTGCAACATCCACGCCAGCTTGCACAACCGTGGAAAAGTGCGCGTTGCAGTGAGTACAAGTCACATTCTTGGATTTGAGCGGCGAAATGCAGGGTTTGATCTGTGTGTGTGTGTGTGTGTGTGTGTGTGTGTGTGTGTGTGTGTGTGTGTGTGTGTGTGTGTGCACGAAAAGCCAAAAGTCAGAATGGGCGTTACACACTGCAGTGCCGTGGTTCAGTGCATACCTGCGCCAGGCGCAACCTTGCATGCAATGGAGCCGGCCCGACAGTATCTGGAGCGGACGTAAAAAAGTAAACCTCTACGAAGCGTGACCCGCAACTACCAATCAAGCAGAAAATGCACCAAAAACCAAAATGAGCAAAGCACAGGACACACAGTTTCTCTCTCATCCCCTCTCGTTGCCTTGCTTTTGAGCGTCGTATGATGTTGCATCTTACAAGTGTTCGAGCAAGTTGACAAAGTGGTTCAGAGCTTGGTCGGATGTGTTCCATTTGCGGGTGCCCAAAGCGGCCGCGCCCGACATGAGCTGGCCGCCGTCGATGATGAAGACCACGCGGTTTTCTGGTGTCACTGGCTTTTGGTGTAGCGCGAGGGATGACTGACCGCCAAATAAGCTCGGTCTGAGGATTGTCGCTTGAAGTGCTCATCGTAAGAAACTGAGAAGAACTGAACTATGGTTATTCTGTCGCATACAAAACGAGACTGTGGTGAGTTTTTCAGGTCGACTGACATCACTGATGTTGTCATCGATGTTGGTACTCCAACAAGTCTAGCCTTTTGTCATTGTCATCAACTGTACTCCCAAAAGGCTCAGGAAAGCAAAAAAAAAAAAAAAAAAAAAAAAAGATTCTGTTCGACTGTCCGCCGTCCACAGTGTGTGCACTGGGCGTCCGTCCGCTTCCCCGGCACAGGCACCCTTCTGTCAAGCGCAAGTCGAGTGACGAGACAAACGCAGCGAAACCGAGCGACGCCCCTGCCCCGACCGATGTTGGACGAAGGCGATGTTTCATGTTCGAGCATGACGCAAACGCACAGACTCTCGACGCTTGGATCAAGCATGCTCTTGTGTGTGTGTGTGTGTGTGTGTGTGTGAGTGTGTTTCAAGTGTGTTGATGATTGGCATGTGTCGCAGCGTGGCTGGCGTGATGGGCAGAGCCACACACGCTGCGGCGGCGGCGGCGGCGACGTGGAAGAGAGAGAAAGAGAGAGAGAGAGAGGGAGACAACACAGCTAAAGCTCAACGTCATCGTAACACCATTACAATTTTGACAATGGAAAATGGAGGAGTGAAGCAAAGGCGAACAGGCTAACAAATTGATATTGGAAAAAGCTCGGACAAGATGTACAATCACACAAAGAAAATCAACAACAAAGAAAGCATGCACGAATACAAACAAGAAAATGGTAGAAAAACAAAAGCAAAGAAAAAACAAGAAAAAAAAAAAGGAAAGTTGTATGCCGTTCTCTCCCTTCGCGCCAATGGAGAACGCTCAAGTGAAGGACATCGTTGGTTGCTGAAGCAAAGGCCGAAGCAAAGGGGAAAAAACAAAGCGGAAACGACAAGCCTTCACGAGTGGAACGAACCCTGGCCATCCACTTGTGCGGACAAAAAGTGGGAAATGTTCAAGCCATCGAGCACAGTGGCGCCTCCATTGGCATTGAAATTGTCGCCGGATTGCTGTGCAGTCGCGGCCGCTGCAGCAGCCGCCGCCGCCATCATGACGCTCGAAAGGTCCATGGAAGACAAGTCAAGGGTGCCTCCGGGCATTTGGGGATTGGACATCATGCCACCAAGCGCGTCAAACGAGGTGCCCGTGAGATCTCGCGAAGTGCGAGCGCTTTCAGAGGACAGAGCCGAGCTAATCTCCGAAGACGGCCGTGCGCTCAGCTCGGACGACGCTCGCGAGCTGCTCCCATCTTGCTCGAGCAGTTGCTGCTGCAGCAGTAGGTGGTGCTGAGGAAATTGATGTGCAAACTGTGGCGATGGCGTCGAGTTTGACTTGAAAGCTGGCGAGTGCGGCTGGGATTTGAGTTGCTGTTGTTGATGCAATTGCTGTTGTTGTTGTTGTTGCTGTTGTTGTTGTTGCTGTTGCTGTTGGTGTGCATGCTGCTGAACGGCCATGGCATCAAACTCATCGAGTAGCGTTGGAGGCAAAGACTTGGCGCTTG